TGCTGCTCACCACTTTCATGCCAGGAGCTCACAAAGTAGGATTTTTGCTCACAGGACTCCACAACTTAGAGGGAACATTGCTGCTCACCACTTTCATGCCAGGAGCTCACAAAGTAGGATTTTTGCTCACAGGACTCCACAACTTAGAGGGAACATTGCTGCTCACCACTTTCATGCCAGGAGCTCACAAAGTAGGATTTTTGCTCACAGGACTCCACAACTTAGAGGGAACATTGCTGCTCACCACTTTCATGCCAGGAGCTCACAAAGTAGGATTTTTGCTCACAGGACTCCACAACTTAGAGGGAACATTGCTGCTCACCACTTTCATGCCAGGAGCTCACAAAGTAGGATTTTTGCTCACAGGACTCCACAACTTAGAGGGAACATTGCTGCTCACCACTTTCATGCCAGGAGCTCACAAAGTAGGATTTTTGCTCACAGGACTCCACAACTTAGAGGGAACATTGCTGCTCACCACTTTCATGCCAGGAGCTCACAAAGTAGGATTTTTGCTCACAGGACTCCACAACTTAGAGGGAACATTGCTGCTCACCACTTTCATGCCAGGAGCTCACAAAGTAGGATTTTTGCTCACAGGACTCCACAACTTAGAGGGAACATTGCTGCTCACCACTTTCATGCCAGGAGCTCACAAAGTAGGATTTTTGCTCACAGGACTCCACAACTTAGAGGGAACATTGCTGCTCACCACTTTCATGCCAGGAGCTCACAAAGTAGGATTTTTGCTCACAGGACTCCACAACTTAGAGGGAACATTGCTGCTCACCACTTTCATGCCAGGAGCTCACAAAGTAGGATTTTTGCTCACAGGACTCCACAACTTAGAGGGAACATTGCTGCTCACCACTTTCATGCCAGGAGCTCACAAAGTAGGATTTTTGCTCACAGGACTCCACAACTTAGAGGGAACATTGCTGCTCACCACTTTCATGCCAGGAGCTCACAAAGTAGGATTTTTGCTCACAGGACTCCACAACTTAGAGGGAACATTGCTGCTCACCACTTTCATGCCAGGAGCTCACAAAGTAGGATTTTTGCTCACAGGACTCCACAACTTAGAGGGAACATTGCTGCTCACCACTTTCATGCCAGGAGCTCACAAAGTAGGATTTTTGCTCACAGGACTCCACAACTTAGAGGGAACATTGCTGCTCACCACTTTCATGCCAGGAGCTCACAAAGTAGGATTTTTGCTCACAGGACTCCACAACTTAGAGGGAACATTGCTGCTCACCACTTTCATGCCAGGAGCTCACAAAGTAGGATTTTTGCTCACAGGACTCCACAACTTAGAGGGAACATTGCTGCTCACCACTTTCATGCCAGGAGCTCACAAAGTAGGATTTTTGCTCACAGGACTCCACAACTTAGAGGGAACATTGCTGCTCACCACTTTCATGCCAGGAGCTCACAAAGTAGGATTTTTGCTCACAGGACTCCACAACTTAGAGGGAACATTGCTGCTCACCACTTTCATGCCAGGAGCTCACAAAGTAGGATTTTTGCTCACAGGACTCCACAACTTAGAGGGAACATTGCTGCTCACCACTTTCATGCCAGGAGCTCACAAAGTAGGATTTTTGCTCACAGGACTCCACAACTTAGAGGGAACATTGCTGCTCACCACTTTCATGCCAGGAGCTCACAAAGTAGGATTTTTGCTCACAGGACTCCACAACTTAGAGGGAACATTGCTGCTCACCACTTTCATGCCAGGAGCTCACAAAGTAGGATTTTTGCTCACAGGACTCCACAACTTAGAGGGAACATTGCTGCTCACCACTTTCATGCCAGGAGCTCACAAAGTAGGATTTTTGCTCACAGGACTCCACAACTTAGAGGGAACATTGCTGCTCACCACTTTCATGCCAGGAGCTCACAAAGTAGGATTTTTGCTCACAGGACTCCACAACTTAGAGGGAACATTGCTGCTCACCACTTTCATGCCAGGAGCTCACAAAGTAGGATTTTTGCTCACAGGACTCCACAACTTAGAGGGAACATTGCTGCTCACCACTTTCATGCCAGGAGCTCACAAAGTAGGATTTTTGCTCACAGGACTCCACAACTTAGAGGGAACATTGCTGCTCACCACTTTCATGCCAGGAGCTCACAAAGTAGGATTTTTGCTCACAGGACTCCACAACTTAGAGGGAACATTGCTGCTCACCACTTTCATGCCAGGAGCTCACAAAGTAGGATTTTTGCTCACAGGACTCCACAACTTAGAGGGAACATTGCTGCTCACCACTTTCATGCCAGGAGCTCACAAAGTAGGATTTTTGCTCACAGGACTCCACAACTTAGAGGGAACATTGCTGCTCACCACTTTCATGCCAGGAGCTCACAAAGTAGGATTTTTGCTCACAGGACTCCACAACTTAGAGGGAACATTGCTGCTCACCACTTTCATGCCAGGAGCTCACAAAGTAGGATTTTTGCTCACAGGACTCCACAACTTAGAGGGAACATTGCTGCTCACCACTTTCATGCCAGGAGCTCACAAAGTAGGATTTTTGCTCACAGGACTCCACAACTTAGAGGGAACATTGCTGCTCACCACTTTCATGCCAGGAGCTCACAAAGTAGGATTTTTGCTCACAGGACTCCACAACTTAGAGGGAACATTGCTGCTCACCACTTTCATGCCAGGAGCTCACAAAGTAGGATTTTTGCTCACAGGACTCCACAACTTAGAGGGAACATTGCTGCTCACCACTTTCATGCCAGGAGCTCACAAAGTAGGATTTTTGCTCACAGGACTCCACAACTTAGAGGGAACATTGCTGCTCACCACTTTCATGCCAGGAGCTCACAAAGTAGGATTTTTGCTCACAGGACTCCACAACTTAGAGGGAACATTGCTGCTCACCACTTTCATGCCAGGAGCTCACAAAGTAGGATTTTTGCTCACAGGACTCCACAACTTAGAGGGAACATTGCTGCTCACCACTTTCATGCCAGGAGCTCACAAAGTAGGATTTTTGCTCACAGGACTCCACAACTTAGAGGGAACATTGCTGCTCACCACTTTCATGCCAGGAGCTCACAAAGTAGGATTTTTGCTCACAGGACTCCACAACTTAGAGGGAACATTGCTGCTCACCACTTTCATGCCAGGAGCTCACAAAGTAGGATTTTTGCTCACAGGACTCCACAACTTAGAGGGAACATTGCTGCTCACCACTTTCATGCCAGGAGCTCACAAAGTAGGATTTTTGCTCACAGGACTCCACAACTTAGAGGGAACATTGCTGCTCACCACTTTCATGCCAGGAGCTCACAAAGTAGGATTTTTGCTCACAGGACTCCACAACTTAGAGGGAACATTGCTGCTCACCACTTTCATGCCAGGAGCTCACAAAGTAGGATTTTTGCTCACAGGACTCCACAACTTAGAGGGAACATTGCTGCTCACCACTTTCATGCCAGGAGCTCACAAAGTAGGATTTTTGCTCACAGGACTCCACAACTTAGAGGGAACATTGCTGCTCACCACTTTCATGCCAGGAGCTCACAAAGTAGGATTTTTGCTCACAGGACTCCACAACTTAGAGGGAACATTGCTGCTCACCACTTTCATGCCAGGAGCTCACAAAGTAGGATTTTTGCTCACAGGACTCCACAACTTAGAGGGAACATTGCTGCTCACCACTTTCATGCCAGGAGCTCACAAAGTAGGATTTTTGCTCACAGGACTCCACAACTTAGAGGGAACATTGCTGCTCACCACTTTCATGCCAGGAGCTCACAAAGTAGGATTTTTGCTCACAGGACTCCACAACTTAGAGGGAACATTGCTGCTCACCACTTTCATGCCAGGAGCTCACAAAGTAGGATTTTTGCTCACAGGACTCCACAACTTAGAGGGAACATTGCTGCTCACCACTTTCATGCCAGGAGCTCACAAAGTAGGATTTTTGCTCACAGGACTCCACAACTTAGAGGGAACATTGCTGCTCACCACTTTCATGCCAGGAGCTCACAAAGTAGGATTTTTGCTCACAGGACTCCACAACTTAGAGGGAACATTGCTGCTCACCACTTTCAGGAGGAGGAGGAGGAGGAGGAGGAGGAGGAGGAGGAGGAAAAGGAGGAGGAAGTTGGATTTATACCCCGCCCTTCACTGGGAGTCTCAGAGCAGCTTACAAACTCCTTTCCCTTCCCCTCCCCACAACAGACACACCCTGGGAGGCAGGTGGAGCTGAGAGAGAGAACTGCCTTTGAGAGAACAGCTCTGAGAGAACTGTGACTTACCCAAGAAGAAGAAGAAGAACAAGAAATTGGATTCATACCCCGCCCTTCACTTGGAGTCTCACAGTGGCTGACAAACTCCTTTCCCTTCCCGTCCCCACAACAGACACCCTGTGAGGCAGGTGGGGCTGAGAGAGCTCTCTTGAGAACTGCCCTTGAGAGAACAGCTCTGAGAGAACTTGTAACCGACCCAAGGTCACCCAGTAGCTGCAAGCGGAGGAGTGGGGAATCAAACCCGGTTCTCCCAGATTAGAGTTTGCGCACTTAACCACTGCACCAAACTGGTTTCCCAACCTCCAGGTGGTGGCTGGAGATCGCCGGGGATGACAACTGACCTCCAGGTGACGGAGATTGGTCCACCTGGAGAAAATGGCCCCTTTGGAAGGTGGGCTCCGTGGCCTTACATCCTGTGGCCTCACACCCAGCATATCTTCAGGATGTCCTCTCCTGGGATGCAGCGTTCCCTCTAAGCTGAGTTAGTGTGAGCCGGCTCACAGTTTTTTAGCCTCTGGCTCGCACATTTTTGTCTCCGCTCAGGAAGGAGGGCTCCAGAGCAGACTAATACATGCAGTCACCAAATCGCTCGCTCACCACTTTCATGCCAGGAACTCACAAAGTAGAATGTTTGCTCACAGGACTCCACAGCTTAGAGGGAGCATTGTTGTGTGTGGGGGAAGGGGGGGAGCCCAACATACCGCCCGGCCGGACCCGGCGCTACTCACCCCATGAGCCAGTCCATGACGCCGCCTGCCTGCCGCTGTGCGCCGCCGCGGTGCTGGGCCGGGCGAGCAGGCGGGCGGGCGGCTCTTGCGGGTGTCCCTGCCTGCCTGCCTGCCTGCCCGCCCGCACTCCTCTCCTCACCGCTCGCTCCGGCCTCGGAGGAGGCTCATGGGTGCCCGCGTCCCAGACCCGGACCCTTTTCCCCCCGCCTCGGGGGCTCCTTCTCCTTGCCCCCCCCTCCCCGCAAGGCAGCGCCCGCCGGGTCCCGTCAGCCGACCCAGCCGGACTGCGTGACACACACACGCGCGCGCGCACTCTCTCCCTCTCGCCTCACTCGCGACTCACTCTCTCGCGGGCTGGCCGGAAGTAAACACACAGCCTTTCCTCCAGCGTTTCCCCTCCCTCGCCCCGCCTCGCCTCTCGCGCGCACGCACGCCCGGGCCGCTGCGACCCGGAACTGACCGGCCTCGCGAAGCACGGTGGGAAATGTAGTCTCCCCCGGGAGGAATAGGCGTGCGCCGGCGACTTCACCGTGCAATCTCCCCTCTGAGCGGTGGCGCCTCGCGAGCCAAAGGTCTGCTGGGCGAGCTGCCGGCGTTCAAGTCCCGAGCGCGCGTCTGGCTAGTCCCAATGTTCCCTTCCAAGCTGTGGAGTCTTGTGTGCAAAAAATTCTACGTTTTGTGAGCGACGGGCATGAAAGTGGTGAGCGAGCGATTGGGCTGCTGCGTGAATTACTTTGCTCCGCCGGCAGTGTTCCCTCTAAGCTGAGTTAGCGTGAGCGAGCTCACAGTTTTTTGGCCTCCGGCTCACACATTTTTGTCTCCGCTCAAGAAGGATGCCTCCATGGACTCTGTTACTAGCAAAATAAACAACTCAGCTATGAAACCAATACAACGACCTATAAAGGAAAAGTGGACCCCCATACTTACCTACTTCCTGGCAACACTTACAGAAGTGGATATGATTGTTCTTACACTAATGCTAATATTTCTTGTTCCTCACCTTACAGAGTTCTCCTCAGTACTATATGATATTACTTTACAGTTCTTATCGCAGCAGAAATCTGAGACAGTAAGCTGTACAAAGCTGTTATAGATGCTGGTTCTATATGCTTGATATGTGACTGTACACTTCTTAACTCTAAAGACATCTTGCTATGTATCATTTGTTATGCTAGTTACTAGTTTTGATATCATATGCTGTTTGGATTTTGTTGCAAATCATTAATAAAATAAAATATAAATAAATTAAAAAAGAAGGATGCCTCCAGAGCAAACTAATGTATGCAGTAGCCAAATCGCTCGCTCACAGCTTTAATGCCAGTAGCTCACAAAGTAGAATTCCTGCTCACAAGACTCCACAGCTTAGAGGGAACATTGCTCCGGAGCCCCATCCTTCCTGAGCTAGGACAACAATGTGTGAGCTGGAGGCTAAGAAACGGTGAGCTAGCTCACACTAATTCAAGCTTAGAGGGAACACTGCCAACTGCATTGATCGGTCGCAGTCCCTCCCTGGGCGAAGACAAAAATGTGCGAGCCGGAGGCGAAGAAACGGGGAGCTGGCTCTCACACGCACTCAGCTTAGAGGGAGCACAAGGGAAAGAAGAGAAAGTTGAACAAGAGTCGCTCGCGTGGATATGAACACCACACATGTTGTGTGCTAGCTGAATCACACACGCCGGCCACCAGGTGGCCCAACAAACGAGAGAAGCTTCGTCACCAGGGTCAATAGAGCCCTAGGATCCTAAATCCGGCCAACCGGGGAGTAGGGATTCTACAGAAAGCCTATAAGAGTGTAAAACTTGTATATAGCCTATCACGGGAGTGGGTGTGTGGTTGTAAAGCCTTCAGGACTGCTTGTGTATCTCCTATTTTCCTGAAATCACTAGTAAAGTATGAGCTGAAAATCACGCTCCCATGCGTCAGTCTCAGTACTTTTCACACAAACACCTGGAAAATAAAGGTCAAAACTGTCTGGAAATTGTAAGGGCGGAGTTTAAAACTAGAATACGTGTCCATACCACCTTATCAGGTTTTTAGGGTTGCCAGCCTCCAGGTGGGGCCTGGGGATCTCCCGGTTTTACCACTGATCCCCAGCCCACAGAGATCAGCTCCCCTGGAGAAAGTGGCTGCTTTGCACCATGAGGCCCCTCCCCTCCCCCAAACCACACCCTTTCTTGGCTCCACCCCCCAAAGTCTCCAGGTGATTTCCAACCCAGACTTGGCAACCCTATAGCTTGCTTTATTGTTTTAGGAACAGGGAATGTATGGTGCAGACTTTAGTACTAGTAATGTGTGTGTGTGTTTTAAAAAAACCTAATATCTAATGGAAGCATAAATTGAAACAGGACAGTGAGTAAAATGTAAATGTAAACGCCCAGGAAGGACCAGAAAGCCAGGACCCTAGTCTACTTGTGTTCCCAGTAAGGTAAGTAGGCTTTCCACAAGGAGAGCCACATAAATACAAAGGGTTTTAAAAGGGTAGGGTTGCCAAAAAAACAACAACAACAAACCATTTGGCAGGAGTCCCCCGCTTTTGGGGGGCTTCTATCCGCCGGCCACCGGGGGAAGCCCCGCCCCCAAACCCCAACACCCGCAGCCACCCCTCTCCCTTCTCTCTTGAGAGAGAGGAGGGAGAGGGGTGGCTGCAACCACGCACCCAATTGGGCGCGCAGGGGGGAAACGGCAGCTCCCTGCACTTAAGTTCAGGGAGCCGGCGCCAATGGAAGATCGGGCGGGCGGGATGTCCCCAACATGACGCCATCACGTCAGGGATGCCCCGCCCCCTCCATGTACGCCCCCCAAAGTACCCCGCTGGGGGTGAAGATGGGACTTGGCAACCCTATAAAAGGGGGATTATATATAACTAGGAATAAGGCCCGTTGTGGAAATAAATACAACAAGCTCTAGAAAAGGGCTTTTGGCGGGTGCCCTGGGCTTGGACACTCAGCGTCAATTTGCTGTGGCAACTTAATGACAAAGTTTACCATTTTCTCCAGGGGAACTGATCTCTGCCACCTTGTGGGGGGCAATAATAATTTTGATTGATACAACCTTCCATTATTGAAATATATCAATATCATTAAAAGCATTTTTGATAGCTAAGAGCATATTAGTTTGTCTAAACTCCTTTGCAGAGAAAGATAGGAAATAACAGGCCAAACTGCAAAGGCAGAACTGTTAAGAAATAGACCCCTGTTACGGGAACTAAACATACAGACTGAGACCACAATGCTTGGTAACGTTTAGCGATGGCAAAGAACAAGGAAACTGAGCTGACTGCAAGACAAGACTATAGGGAAAAGCACCTAACTTACGGGAAAACAAGAAACTACCTAGCTTTTGCAACTTAGATTGAAAAGACATAGCGCTTAGTAGAGAAGGTGGTTTACAGGTGCAAGGACTCATAATTTACCAAATATGGAATGGACCCTGGGGACTCTGGAATGTGGGGAGTGGTTTAGTTCCATAGGTGTGTCGGCTAAGATTGTAAATCCGGATGCCTTTCCACCAATGACATAACAGATAGGGTACCTTGAAGCCGTGGATAGGGTTTTGCTTTTGCATATAATTATATGAATGCCTTATATAATGCCATGTAATCAATGCTTAACTGAGCTCTTGGAGTTTCCTTTACTGATAGTAAAGCCTTCAATGTTCACTGCTGAATTTGTCTCCTGTGATTATTTAGACAAATATTTTTGTCACTAACAACCTGAACAGCAGTTGTAATTCTGAGTGATCTCCAGCCCTCCCCTGGAGATTGGCAACAATGGTTCCCCATGAGTAAATGGCTGGTTTGGAGAGTAGAGTCTATGGTATTGTACCTGTCTTGGAGGTGGCAACCATATCGCCTTCCCAGCCAACCATCAACATACCGCTATCTATCCCTCTGAGTTCAGCTTTCCATCTCCCACACACACCTGGAGCCTCTATCTAGCAAAAGTACAGTCTTTTTTCTCCTCAGTGGGGACCCAAGCAAAAGGGGAAGCAACCTCAGCAGGGTATAATGACTCAGAGTCCACACTGCAAAGCAGCCATTTTCTCCAGATGAACTGATCTCCTTCATCTGGAGAGTAGTTTTAATTATGAGTGCTCTCCAGCCTTCACCTGGAGAATGGTAGCAATGGTTCCCCATGAGGAAATGGCTGGTTTGGAGGGTGGAGTCTATGGCATTGTACCTGTCTGTGGTCCCACTCCTCTTCAAATTCCACATAGTACCCATGAGGACCTATCATCAGTGCCTGATATCTCCAGTTAATAAAACTTTGTAATGAATTCTAGGTAAAACTAGGGTATTATAATACTCCACATCAGATGCCTTATATTAAGCGCCAGCAGCCTGGTTCCTTCTCGGGACAAGTGAAAACCATCTCTTTTGTACAACTCCCTCTTGTTCCAAAAAGCATCTCAGTGCCTAACAAACTTGAACGCTTCCTCCCTACACCATCGTCTCAGCCACGCATTGAGACTCCTGATTTGTGCCTGTCTCTCCGGCCCTGTGCGTGGAACAGGTAGCACTTCTATGAAGGCTCTGTTGGAGGTCCTGGCCTTTAATCTCCTGCCTAGCAGCCTAAATTTTTCCTCCAGGACCTCATGACTACATTTCCCCACCTTGTTGGTGCCAACATGTACCACGACCAGTGTTCCCTCTAAGCTGAGTTAGTGTGAGCTAGCTCACAGTTTTTTAGCCTCTGGCTCTCAGATTTTTGTCTTAGCTCAGGAAGGATGGCTCCAGAGCAAACTAATTCATGCAGCAGCCAAATCGCTCGCTCACAACTTTAATGCCAGGAGCTCACAAAGTAGAATTTTTGCTCACAGGACTCCACAGTTTAGAGGGAGCCTTGACCACGACCACTGGCTCCTCCCCAGCACTGTCTACCAGCCTATCTAGAACATGCATAATGTCCACTACCTTTGCACCAGGAAGGCAAGTCACCATATGGTCAGTATGCAGGTTCGCCATCCAGCTGTCTACCTGCCTAAGAATCAAATCACCAAGAGCCCCCCCACCCGCCCAGGGATGGTTCCTTGGTGCAAAAGGATACCCGTTCACCAACTGAATAAGAGGTGCTTTCTGAGGAAACATTCCCCTCATCCACGGTGCCCTGTTTCCTTTTGACCCTCATGCACCCTGACAGCAGTGGGGGCTGCCATTTTCAGTGTGGAACATATCTAACAAGTCCCCAAGAGTCTTCTCCATGCACCTAACTGACTGTCTCTGCTTCTCCAGGTAAGCCACCTTGGCCTCAAGAGTGCAAACTCGTTCCCTGAGAACCAGGAACTCCTTGCACCGGGCACACACCCAAGACTTCTGTCCAGTGGGCAGATACTTGTACATGTGA